TGTGCTCAAAAAGTATACATCATATAGCCAATAGTTTGGTGCACACAGACTCATTGGTGAAGAATGTTTTACGTAATGTGAAGCATGAAGTCAGTCTCGCAGCAAAGAGAAACGAGCAAAAAGTTAACTTTCCCCTGAATTCACAAGCTGTTTTGTCGAGCAGCAAGAGCTTTAAATCCTGCTGCTCGTCTGTAACAGATTGTCTTTTTCAGGAAAAGCTACACACATGAAATCAATTAGAAGGTGATGGAATGTGCATGGATCTGGAGTTGATTTGTAGAGCAGGGATGGCCATATTGAGAGAGACGGATCGGAGCGGGGGGGGGAGTGGGTCAGTGTTGTGTCCCAGCTGGTGACGGTGTCTGGAGGCCTCCATCACTTGGCGTTGAATTGGTGATTTACTCACCCTTCCCATCATGTTCCATCCCACAGAGTTCAGCATTTAAGATTTTTACATGTTTTTTTGGATTTCAAAAGCAAGACAACACTTTGAATTGTTCTTGCCATTAAAAAAAGCCATTATAGTTATTTTTCTTTTTACTAGCCACTCAGGCTGGAAGTTTCTATAAGAGCCGGGCTCTGTACGTTTATGCATTTGCTCATTCACTCGTGTCTAATGTTTTTTGCCATGCACAGTGCTGAAGGGCAATTCAGTGTGCACTGTTTAGACAGCGCAGAGCTCCAGTGGCCCTGCATAAGGAAATACAGTGTGTGCTCCATTCAACTGGCAGTATGCTGAAAATCAAAACCAAGTCAGCCAACTGGAAACTGGGAATCCACATACTAGGAAGCAACTCTATAGGATTTAAAGCTCGGTATTAAAGCATGTGTCCGGTTAGTATTTCAGTGACAGAATGACTTTAAGTCGTTTTATTTTCTCTTACACCAGAATGCATAGTCCTTTTTTCGAACTCCTGAACACTTAAAACATGTTCATTGGTTTTTACCACCTAATTCTGGGACACCCCTTATGTTTCTCCAAATAAGAGTCTGAAAACGTTTGTAAAACCATTGTAAAAACTTGAACACATGTTGTATTTGCGTGTAGAGAACCGGATGTTTAGTAGAAACCCTAATCCCGTGACTAAAGAATTTTTTTCTGCTTTACTTCTAGTATAGCGTTCAGGCATTCTTGGGTTTACATTTGCCAAAAGGACTTTCTCTGCTTTTATATTGTAATTCCATTGCCGTATCACTCTCCTTTTAAAAATATTTACTTTAACACTTAGCGTGCAACGTATTGAAACTACATTACAGTGACAGAGTCTAGCATTTTGTTTTTTTGTTGAAGACAGCTGTTTCATGTTTTTGAACCAGCCGAATAAAGTATTTTGGTACATTTTATCATTTCAGTAATTATCTGTATTATTATGTAGAGTAATGATGTGAAATTCAAAACTCTTGAAGGTTTCAACTAAGTCAGCGAAAGTTAGTTTTCTAATTTCTTCTCTAATTTAATTAATGTTATGCCCTATCAGAAACCCAGAGTTAGATACCTCAGGTCATGTTAATGTGGCGGGAACCATTTTTTATGTTAAAGTGTGTAGAAGATATCTAAATTGACCATAAGCAACATAATGTGATATTATTACTTATTGTTTTGAACATGTGATAAACATTTCTGCTGTTTATGGATAGAAGAGTTGAACACTGTGAGATTTCCTACCATATTAGTCACAGCAGGGTGATCAAGTTGCGTTCAGCTGTGGCAGGAAATGCTTTAGTTGGAATGGCATTATCAGGAGGAGACTCTTGGAGGCGAACACTCTGGGCTTATAGCAGTAAGTGGAGTATGCACCTTGATTAAATGGGTTTGGTGTTTGCTGTTGGGCCTATCCAAGTCTACTAAATAAAGACCTTCTTCATTCCCCTTTGTAGGTAAAACCTGACTGAAATGCTTTACTTCCCAGCCTGATTCGGACCCTCCGAAAATTGTTAGCATTTGGCAGGAACTTTGGAAAAAAACACGACTTTGCATACTGAATTAACAATTCACATCTCTGTTTGAGATATTTCAGTGGGCTTTGAAAGAGGACTGCTGAGGGGGAAGGCTGCCAGTCTTTCCCCCAGCCTCTAACCCCTCCCCTGCCACAACCTCCAATTAGGCTCAGAGGTTCTCCCCTTTGCGGTCTGTTCATGCTGGTGTGTAAAGGGATGATAAAATTAGAACCCACAATGTTTTATTTCCAGTTTTATGCACTCATAGGGAACAACAAGCTCAGCCCAGCTGCTTCAGACGGGGGACCAGAGGGATGTAGAGAATGTCTTCACATAGCAGTCTGCCGGAGGTTTCAATACTTTTACTCATTAGGCGCGTTCACACCAAGTACTTTGCCGTATTTAGTGCCGGCACTCAGTGCCCCGGCACTTATTACCCCAGGGCATTTAGTACAGATCGCGTTCACAACGGAGTACTTTTCCCTGAGGGAAGATTACGCAAATGAGCCGCTGACGTCACTTCGTCTTCTTCTGCTTTGGGTTTACTGGCAGGCCGCAAACAACTTCACGGCGTATACTGCCACCCGGAGTCCCCGGCCGGAAGTCCCCGGAGTTGGGGACTGGCTTCAGTAGAAGCTGCTGGGACTCCCAGCAGCTTCTACTGAAGCCTTCCGAGTAAATCGCCGGAACGCCGACACCTCCTCATCTTCACCGCTCCCATGTTTTATTTTGTGTTGCCATAAGTTAGTCTCTCTGCGTTTGTGCACTGGGCAAATGCTAATGCTAAAAATGCTAATGCGAGGATAATAAAATGGCGGCTCTACAAAACATTTCAGAGTTGTACGGGGCGTGGTTTGCAATTCGCCCAGCCAATCAGAACTGGGGCACTTTTTTCCCCCAGGAAAGTACCATCTTTCAGCAGGCACTAAAAATGGGGGTAAAAGTTCCCGAGATTAAGTGCTCTTTTTGGTGTGAACGCAACATAAGGGGTACCAACGGAACTAAACGCGAAAAGTACGGTGAAAAGTACTCCGGTGTGAATGCGGCTATAGAGGCTCACGGCTCAGTCAGTGTGGCCGTTTGTTTAGTAGTTGTTTAGTCTGATTAAATGGCAACATATAAGCGCAGGCAACTTCAGTGCAACTACCGCCATACGGAGTGTGACAGGACATTTGTAATCTGAAAGGAAGCTACATTAACATGTTGGCCTCAGGCCATGGCTAGCCTCTATCTCATTCCTTCACTGATGGGTCGGGTGTGTGCATGTCGTCTGAACTTTGTCCGTCACCAGTCCATTATTTTACAGCTCCGTCTCACTCTGATCTTTAATATTATAACCTTTCACATTCTTATGATATTTGATACAGAATCTGTATTATAGCCTGCCATGGCTGAGTTTAAACCTTATTCTCCTGTAAGCCTTGCCGCTGCCATTATGTGAATAGAAGAACGTAGCGAACGCTCTGCATTTTAAAAGCCCGCGCTCTCTCTTTTTCTAAATCTCCTCAAATAACAGGGTGTTGTTCACATATGGAAAGCTGTGATCTGATCCATACAACCCTTAAGCTCCTGTATTGTATTTACAAAAACATGACACTCAGAAGACTCAGCGTTTAGTGCTTACACATTCACTGCGCTGTCAAGTGAAAAGAGACCAGGGTCTAAACCCCTTAGTCTGACAGTCCAAAGGAACGTGATTGCAATGATACACTAGCCTCATGCTCTCTTGTGATTTCAGTCACATCCCAGCACCCTTGTGGTGCACCCCAACCCCACCACTCACCCCACACCTCTCTGCCTGCCAAGTATGTAGGGAGGCGAGTCATCCAGGGCGAGAGAGGGCTCAGTCCCTGCAGAGAATCACAATGAGACCTTGGGTCTGTCTCTCCCAGAGCATTACTGCACTACAGTACAGTAGCAGCAACCTCCTGCCTCAAATGGCCTTTGTGGTCAATTTTTTTATTGTTCGTTTTAACCACTTGCATAACGGGAAGAATTTCACTTGTGTGTATATATGGCAATCTATTTCCATTCTTCCTTAGACTTGCATACATTTTACCATGACATCTCAACTAACTATTTCCATTTTTTTGGTATTCAGGTTATTTCTTACAGAAATAAAGGTAAATAATAAAATATGATTAGTTCTTCAGATTGCTAAGAGTGACCGGGACAAACATTTTGAAGATTTTAATTTGTCGTGAGAAAATTAGAATTCGATTCACCTAAATTGTATTAGGGGTTGAGCCATAAATCTCAGAGACAGCTGTCTAAACCTGGGGAAATAAAAGTAATATCCTGGGCCAGACACAACAAGAGTGAGAAAAATGTGTTTTGGGGGCATTTCTAAGTTGCATATTTAAATAAGTTACTAATTCAGTGTTGACGGACTGAATCAACACCATGGAGGTAGAGCTCCATTGGACGAGTGTTTTTGTGAGTGCGGCTGAGTTAAAGCATGTGTCAGACTGCTGATGGGTCTGGAGCGTTGCTGTGGTGCTGTTAGCCTGTGGTACACCTCAACAATCTGTGCTGACTTACTGCCCAGGACTACCACGCTGTGCTCTTTCCCATGGGTCAGGCGCTGATTGAATGCCCAGTTATGTCTCTGCTGTGACACATGAAAGAGCCTCTGTGGTAAAAGTTGAAAAACACCTTAGGAGTAATACAAAAAAAAAAGCGGAAAGAAATTAGATGTTCGTAAGAAGAGAGGAAACAACAAACAAACCCATGAACTAAAAGGCCCCTCTGTTAGCTGTAAACTTGTAGAGGAGATTTATTTTCCTGAATAGAGTGTGCCTGTGGGACTGTTGATACAAAAACATCATTGTAAACTTGGGCTGACCCTTGCATGTTACTTTGCCTGGCTCAGCTAAGATCTATGCTGCTTGAAGCTGGAAATGTCCTATGTAGATTCTGCACAGGAGAAAATAACAGTTGGAAAAATGCCTGAAATCGCATTTCTCTCTAAATTGACTTTGTATTACAAAGCCTTTCAAGACACAGTTGATTTTTTTGTGGCTATAAATTAACTTTCAACTCCTTTTTTTCCGCCCCCAAAGTTGATGACCCGCCGAAGACCTGCAGCCCTAAGCAGTTTGTATGTAAAGACCAGGTGACCTGTATCTCCAAAGGCTGGCGCTGCGATGGGGAGAAAGACTGCCCAGATGGCTCAGACGAATCCCCAGATATCTGTAAGTATTCCTACATGAGAGTACTTCTAAAACTGTCCCTCAGCAGACTTGTGTCCTCAGCTCTCCTGTTCTCTGCTCGACCTTGGTTCAGGGCACTGGGGACTAGTTTTACTTAGCCTTCTTTTCATGAGATAGCCAAATAGCAATTTACCCATTTTAAAACATTTTCATTATCACCAAAACGTTGTTGCCGCACATGAAGTTATATAACATCAAATTCATTACCTCTAAATGGCCTTCAAGAGACAACGGCACAATGTTCAGACAGTTTAATTTGGGCCTGAATAAGAGGGTGGGCTTAGCTGTAGCAGGGACACAGACTCGCAGTGTGTGCTCTGGCTGCTCTGCTGAATTATAGCTCTAATTATGCGGCTGTGTTTAGTCTGAATGTTCATGGATGTGTCTGCTCTTGTCTGGACTCTTATGGGATCTGTGGAGTCCCTAAGTGTCCCAGCGTCTCACATCTGTCATGCTCTCCATCCTGCAAATCCATCCATAAACTCTGCCCGGTAAAAGCCTTCTCTCTGATTTAATGTAGGCGCTAATGGTGATTTTACTGTCTGCATCTGCCACACCTTGCATCTGTCAGGGTTCTCATAACAGTCTGGCATGCAGAGACAAGCAGCTGACACCCAGCATTAAGGGACTTGTTATTCTGGGTGAAAAAGCAAATACGTATTAACACAAAGGATTAGGGATTTATTAAATGGCTAAGGGTGGCATGATGTATCATTTTCTGATTCAGAGCTTCACACAATACAATACAAAGATGAAGCTGAACCGAAAAGTTATCTACCATCAGTCACTTCTATATTGATTTACACAGATAAGAATGTACTGCTAACAACAGCTATCAAATAAATTGCTATCAAATGTTTGGGAGATTATTGTAGTGAACAACACAGAACATGATTGTGACCCACTTAATTCAATCAAGCAAGCTGTGGCTATTTCATTTCTGCCCTTTTTTCTACTAAGCAATTGAACTGAGTGAATTTTCCAGAGTACTTATGTGATTTAGTGACACAGACAATGATGTGATTCATCTTCTGCATGGAGAGATGGAGAGCGATGTTTCACCAGAACATCAAGATATGTTCTGGTCAATTACCCGCTTCCCATTGGCTCTACCCTGCCTGTCACTTTACCTTTAGTTAAGGCACTATTTATGTGAGTTTCCGTAGCAGTCATATTAAATATCTCTTACTGCAATGAATGCACTTTTGTGTTTGCAGTGTAACAAGCACAGTCCAAATGTTCCTCTTAGTTTCACAATGATAGCTATCCATACTGTATATTATGCTGTCGTTTATTTGATCCATCCATTAAATGTGAGCCATGTTTGGAAAGGACTGCTACAGATAAATCTACAGAGTGAGCCTGCACCGATGGAAATGGGAGAGTTTGGAGGAGTATGTCTCCTTGTTATTTAAAATACTGCTCTGACTCAGAGGAATGCAAGAATGTTTGACTTTTTATCCTGTTTTTTCCATTCACGGGTTGAAACGGTTTGCAGATCGTTAGCCCGGTTTTTCCAAACGAGGGAGCACCATAAGAGGCAATCGGACTGCCCTCAAATGAGCTGTTATGGAAATGGTAGATATAAGTAAAGGTCTAACATTGGTTCATCCGAGAGGACTGACATCTGGATAAACTGGGGAACTTTTGTGTTGTGTGTATTTTGTATTAAAAGCTGTCTTTTTTTATCAGACACAGTTTACAAAAGCATTCAAACTTTCTCTTCCAATCATAGTGATAGTCTGAGAAAACCAGAAGATTCCCAGCTCTCTTGACTCTTGTTCCAACATGCCCCCTGACCACAGTCTAGTTGTGTGTGTTAATGGTGATGGGAATAAGAGTGGTGCATGCTACTATAATTACGGCATTATCTCCAGTTCAAGTTAATTACTAACTACAGGCCTTCTTTACAAACAGTACTCTCTGAGATTCCCAAAGGCAACAAGATTTTCCTCTTTTTTTTGCGACATCTTTCTATTCTTCCCCTCTTCCTCCTGTGGCAGCTTGGCTGTGCGCCGGTCTTGGTGTGGGATTTTGTTTCCTAAATTGATCACTATGTCATTTAAATAGGAATCTCCCTGTATTATTCCACTCATCCTCAAGTGTTGTGATGAAAACACAATGTAGCTAATTTGGCTGAAGCGCTGGTTTCGTTTCTGGTAAATAGTAAATACCACCGGTTTTATTTTTACGATGATCAAGAATTGCCGTCAGAGTGGTGGCTGCTGTAAACGTGTGCCTCTGTCTGGTGTGCATCTTTGATCTTCACCTCTCTGGTACCCATGCTGGAAGAAAGTGCACTCCTCAGTATCGTACTGTCTGGAGGTCTAATTGCCTGTTGTTTCCAAACCATTCATCTGGGCTGTAATTATGTTGAAATGCTACAGACAGACTTCTGCCACAGTAGTGAGGTTGTAACGTTGCATCACATGAGGCGTTGACATCCAGAGGTTGAGACGGCAGTTGACACCTAGGGTCAATGTTAATATCCTATAGCCTGTTTGTTTATAGAAGGGGAAACTGAAGCAGAGTCAGGGGAACGTATGTGTGTATGGATGTACGTTTTTGCAAATGGATCTGCATGACTCGTAAAATGACAGATGGGGTCTGGGCAGGTTGCCAGCTGTTGGGCCGTCAAAGCCTTCAGACCCCCGGTGTGCACCTCCCTCTTATGGCCCCTAGTACACTCTCAGATAGCCATCAGCAGTCTGCCTGTACAGGCCCCTGTCTGCAGGTGTGACCCTGTCATCCTCTCCCAGGGACTGCACTGACTCTCCCTCGCTGCAGGGCTTCAATTGGTTTCAGACAAGCCATTTCACCTCAATTACATACAGGCTTAAGGCTCAGGAAGTGGTTGACACATGCCCTTAAGGCAGGAGTATATGTGTCTCAGCGATGGTGCTCTATGCAGGACTGCTGCTTTTAATGCTTCAATAGGTAGTTGTGTAAAACGGTTAACTTTTGTCTATCTAAGATAAAGTAACGAGGTGGGTTGTTCAATATGTCAGTGCATGGCTTTTCCTGCAGATATTGAGCAGACGGTGTTCAAAAGTCCACACTGATGAGCCATTGTGGATTAGGGTTTCTTGATTGTGCATTCGGTTTGTGTCCCAGTGGGTTTTACGTTGCACTGATCTCCGAAGCATTTTCTTTTGGAATAAAAATAGTTTATCCATAAAAGACACAACTATCAAAAATAAGTTTATTTTTGATGATGCTTTTCTTATTTCCAGCTCTATATTTCTTGGCTTAAGTATGGAGGGGTTAAGAAAGTGTTTAGGGGGTAATTTAACAACAATACTAGGATAAAGGTTTTTCAAATAGTCCAACTATAATATGAAATATTTCATTACACCAAATCAGAATAAGGGTATATTGGCATTAAAGTGTGTAAGTTGAACAAACATAGCTTTTTTATTTTCTAACCATTCCAGTGACAGTTTTTTTTATACTAGACTTAAAAGTGCTGTGTCACAACTTTAATTCCATTTCAAAGCTCTGTTGGAGCAGTTGATGTTCAAAACACTGACTCCCTGTCTGTTTCCCAAGTCTGTATACAATTATGATTTTTGCCTGAACCACATTCATTGTGGTTGAACCAGCGAATGGGAACAGATGTTTAAGTAAGCCATAGCATGTAAGCACTTTCTCCATCATGAGAAGTGCTTGCCATGGAGGAATCCCTTTCATCATCAAAAAACCTTGGGCAACAATTGTCTGCGCCTAATTCTCTGTTAGACGTTTTAGCCCCTGACTTAGCATGAACATTTCCGCAGGAAGACTTCCAAGCAGGGGGTGAAATGCATCTCAATCATGCAAATACACTGCCTGTCTTTCACCACAAAGTGCTTTCCACTTTCATTCAGGGTGAGTAAATGAGCTGCTCACAGTAGTTAACACTTGCAAATGACAACCCCCCCCCCCCCCCTTGTACTTGATCTGTCAAACTGTCATTTAAGTCCAAGTATTACCCACATGTACCCATGGACACATTTATTAGTGTACCTCGTTGATTCTTGAAAGTAATTTTGAGGGGATATTCTTTGGAATGCAGTTTCATAATGAATTTGAGGGACCCTTGGCTCAAGAGGCTGAAAGTATTTAATGTAACAATACCTAAATGTTGTTTCTCAAACACAGACATGCAATTTCATTTAAATCTTCCAGTAGACATGTGATTTCATGTCTTTGCTTCGAACAGGACAATTTGCACTAACACACTGGAAACTCTTTCAAAGAGTTTGTCTGATGTAATGGCACGATACTGTGGTGAAAGTAGCCCCCAACACACACACATCCATACCCTGACCCTTGGCCCACACTGTGGTCCATGCCAGTGGATGCCATGGCCTGGGGCCCGAGCTGGTAGGGCGGTCTGATGGGAAGATTGAGTTATCATCTCAGTGCAGCTGCCTGAGGCACCGTGGGCCACACAACGAGGTTATCTGCCCATCTCTTGCCTCAAAACCCCCTCTGGAAGCTCGCCAGCCTGGTCCTTTGTCCGGCCCATCTGACAGTTATGCCTCAGCAGCATCTCCAAGACGACAGGGAACAGCCGGCTGCTGAGGTAGTGGGATGGGATGGAGCAATGGGGAGAAGGGAGGATCCTACAGTAAAAGCTTTTGTTAAGGAGAAAAGTTCTGATTAGCTTTCAGGCTAAGGAGGAATATGGAAATATCTTTTGTTAAGCTTTGATCCATTCGTTGTAGAAACAGACTTAAAAAGTAAATGTGTGGTAGGGAGGGGGTCTTCTGGTAGCTTTTAATCAGTTTTGTAGCTTTTCTTGCAGGGGGAACCATGCAGGGAGAGTCTGTAGCGGCAGTGGTTGACACACTGCTTCCACAGAGGAAGGAGCAAAGCCCTGTAAATCCCTCTGGTCTGTGGCCCTCAGCCTCCTCAGCTTCACGGGCCTATCAGCAGGCAGAGAACACAGGGCTTTCTCACGCCACACAGGCACCACTTCGCTCTCTCTGCTGTCTCCT